AAGTCGAAAAAGTAAAACATTGACACGGACGACGACGACGACGACGGACAATCACTCATATGATAAGCTCCGCTCGACAAAGTCGACAGCGGAGCTAAAAAGACAAAAATATTTGTTAAAAATAGAGATTTCTCAAATAGGAAAGTAATTTAACTGGTAGTTTTCAAGCTAAAACACTTATCAGTATAGGTCCATAGGTCCAGAATAGGTAATTTTTTAATGACAGCCGAGCTAATAAAGCTATCAGAATGACCTCAGAGTGAAAAATGGAATAGTTGAACAGACATGACAAGAAAAGCATGTTTACACTGTATGCTAATGTATTGAGCATTTTGTGCATTGCATAGGATTGAGATGGCTAAATTACTGTATCACAATCCTTTTTGATGTGGCTGAATTATTAGAAGAAAAATTCAAAATTTAATTTTTTGAGTGGTTGAATTAGTGGGTTTTAGATTAGAGTCATTGGAAGTATGATTGTAGAATCAAAGAAGTTTGTGAAGTCAAATTGAAGAAGACTGAAATACGGATATAAGACTCAAAGGTCTAACTAGTTTAATTTATTTCTTGCCAATAAGAAGAAACGTTAAAAGAAATTGAGAGCTTGAGGCCCTTTCCTGCCAGGTGGTTAAATTGCTAGAAGAAATTACAAATGGTCCAACTAATAGAAGAAATACAGTATAATTTGTAGATCCAACTTTCAGTGTAGAAATCAGAGAACGAATTCAGTTCACTTACTTCCAGCATCCTTGTGTACTTTTTCAATCTTCTCAATCATGGCCAGCAAATTCTCCATTCTACTTTGAACATCCTTCATATCTTTTATCGATTGCGCCAAGCAGTGGTTCACATACATCAGATTTTCAATTTTAGTTCGGAGTTCGGCAATTTCTCGGTCCACTTTGTCTTCATCGTTTTCGTTGAATTTGAAATCTAGATTGACCTGCGTGAATTAATTTATATTCATGACATTAGTACAAGATACAAGGGTGCCAAACGATGTTCACAATGTGTGTAAACTTAGAGCACTTACTCAAGCATGGATGCTAAGTCAGATGTATGTCAGAGTATGGTATGATAAAAACTGAATAAAAAGAAACATGTTTATGTTGACAAACATAAGAGACATTTACCTTATCTTCTGGCAGTACAACATGGCTTGGAATATGGAGAAGATTATGGATTAAAAAAAATTCTAATTTATCAAAGGCAGTGGAGTACCGCGGCTTTAGATGAGCATAAACCTTCTGAGTACACTGAAAAAAAAAATAATATGAAACAACAACGATGAGATGATATATACACCACACTTCTAAGGTATAGTGATGGTGCACCACAGACACTGAGACAGGCTTTAAATTCATAAAGCCATCACAGACAAATGCCTTGGTGACTTCTGAAAATACATATATTAGATAAAATTTGATGTTGAAACAGTGTCCTCTCAACACTGAAGTTCACACCCTGTGCAGAATCTGAAAAGAATATGTAATGTAGCATTGATATGTGAACCTTGTATTAGGAGGTGGTGTCCATGCATGGAGTTTGAGGCGTGTCATGCATTAAATTGCCCGCCACCCTGAAACATCATTTACACTCATTGATTCCCAACTGACTGAATGAATGTGACTGACTGACTGTGACTGACCGACTTTGACTGACTGTCACTGACTGACTGACTGACTTACTGTCACTGACTGAATGTGACTGAATGAATGTGACTGACTGACTGTGACTGACCGACTTTGACTGACTGTCACTGACTGACTGACTGTGACTGACTTTGACTGACTGTCACTGACTGACTGACTTACTGTCACTGACTGACTGTCACTGAATGAATGTGACTGACTGACTTTGACTGATTGTCACTGACTGACTGTCACTGACTGACTGTCACTGACTGAATGACTGTCACTGAATGAATGTGACTGACTGACTGTGACTGACTGACTGACTGTGACTGACTGACTTTTACTGACTGTCACTGAATGAATGTGACTGACTGAATGAATGTGACTCAACTGAATGAACATTACCAAATGTGACAGACAGACAGACATAATTAAAGTCGTCTTATAGTGCAGCTTTAAAATGTGTGTGAAAAAGCTACATCAATGTATTCTGTAAGCAATGTCTGTATAAATTTGTGTACATTGAGTGACATTTCATGAAACAAAATAAACTAATCCAACTACTTACTTCTCGAAGCTTTTCTGCTGATACTTTAGATCCATCGGTTATTTTGAACTAGATAAAAAAAAAGAATAATATAAATAAGGCCCTTAAACATTATCCACATTTCTGGTCATGCTTGTGGCTTGAACCCAATTTTCAGAAACAAAATCACGTACATCAAGGTTATATGATACCATGTACATGTACCAAGTTTTAATTAAATCTATCCATGCTCGATTGAGATCCAGTTCGGAAATAGCAGAAATGTTTGACTTTGATGCATTTCAGCAGTAAAATCTTGAATCAAATCACAAAACAAATGTGTTTGCATATGTAAAACATGGTGTATATGTGTGAAGTCTGAATGTCATTGGTCAAGGCATGTCAGAGATATAGGGCTGAAGAACAACATTTCTTAATTACAGCAAAAAAAGCAACCAGTCACTCACCTCCTTCATAAGGTACTGCTCCACCACAGTCACACCATCACACAGATACTCGACCAATGCATTATGTACTGTTAAATAAAATTGAGTTGTATTAATGGTGAAACTTTTCTAAACTAAACACAGAGTTGTAGATTTCTGTAGTTGGTGGTTTGCAAGCATTGCATTCTAACACTACCGGTATTTACTGAAACTGCAGTGTCAAACACTGTTATTGTTGTGCTTCTAGTAAAATTACCATATATTTAGGATTTAATAGAAAAAAAAACGCTAAATTGTATACATACAAATGAACAAATTATGTTCCTGATCAGTGTGTGGACCACCCAAAAAATTGCGGAATAATCATTATTTTTCAATTATTTTGCTACTGCACAGTGCCCTCTGTCTTTGTTTTAATTGTAAGAACATAATCATGGTTTCAAATTAATTAAGGTAGAGATGCAGTTTATTTGGCTTGCATTTTAATTGAGTAATTAGACAATGAAGATGGTATTATATATCCAACATGTTATATATTTTCTGAAAGCTTATTATACAAACTTTGTAAAACTTGTCTTTATTTTAAATATCCAGAATGCGTTTTTGATTTTGGGTCAAAAATATGCTTTTTTGGACAAAAGTGTTTTAAAAAAATTAGCTTAAAAACTTCAAGTCCGTTTGAGGGTAAAATTACATCACTGGATACCTTGGTATACTACTAATTCAAATGCGTCCACTCATCTCTCTAACGGCTTTCAAAGTCGCACAGCATGACCTCAAAGTTCACTATTTTCTATTTTTGCATAATTTATATATCCATGTTAATTGCGGACTTGTTATTTTTGTTCCACTCGTCGTAATAAACCGTCCGGACGCATTTTGAAGGGGGAACACCTTGTCAATAATGTGTGAAAACATCATGGCTTCTCTTCGATGAATTTTCAATAAAAAATCTACGAGTATTTCGGAGCCTATGGTTTACCGTGAAGAGTACAAAGTGGGATATTACATTATTTATCCTCG